GACGACGACGACCCCGAAGAAGATGATGAGGCGTCTGGTTATGTGGATCACGAAGAAATGAATGATCAACTCTTTCGATATCACGATAGAGACGACGGTCTCGTCTTTGATTTGGAAGAGATGTTTCCGACGAGTGTTCTTCACGTGAACGATAGGCTGTCGACTATATTGCCGATCATTGGTGACGAACACGCGAACGGCACCGACACTACACAACCCACTGTTCCTCCGGCGCCGGGAAATGTTTCCATTTCACACCCTTTGCTCGTAAGACACGGCGATAATACGGGCGCTTCAGTGCTGTCACATACGGCCGCTTCCAATGCAACGGCTGCCGGAATGTTAGCCAATCGTTCCCATAGAAGTGGTCGCCAGAGAATATACAGACCCTCATTGGGCGCCAGCGCTGCTAATCATCACAGTTGGCACATCCCTACCGGAACCAGACATCCAAACCCTCCGGCAATTTTGCAAAGACTTTTAGGACCGAACACCGCTCAGGACATCCTTCAGTTGACCAATTCGACCGGTTTGGGCGCCGGTTCAGCGCCCGCTCAAGTGATTCTCACCAGCAATGACTTCCATATACTGGCCACCGATGACGAGTTATTTGAGTTACAAAATCCCAACACATTTATGTCCGGTAACTCGAGCTCCACATTGGGATCCGTTCCGTCGGCAATGCTTCGGTGGACCGAAGAGTCGAGAGTATTGGACGGCGACTCACTTCACGACTGCGTTTCGCTCATCAAAAGAGAGATAATCGAGTGTTTGGAGAAACATCGCGACGAAGAGTTCGCAGAAAAGCGCGAAAAGAAGAAGAAAGACGACGAAACCAAACGACTGGCCGACGAAGAGGCGAAGGCTAACGAACCGCCCAAACCCGAGACGGAACAGGTGAACATGAATACCGAGAAATTGGCCGCTTCTCTAGTCGAGCAAGTGTTGGGACCCGTCCTGAGGACGCCCGCCAACGAGCCCTCACAAGAATCTGTGCGCACAACGCCTCCCGTTTCGATGGATGTGACCGAAACGCCCACTAATGGAGACTATCATAGCATTCAATCCGATAATGAAGTGACAGAAATGGTTTGCAGTGAAGCACAGCTCATACCAGAGATGCCTGAAATGCATATCATTCCCGAACGTAACGAAATGGAAGTGAATCACGAGACCAGTGCTCAACTCTCCACACCCACAGAACCGGTGCCTCCTCTGCCGCCACTCACTCTTCTCTATCCAAATGAATTTCAAGCCCAGTCTTCGGAAGAGCCGGTGAATCGACCGCCGCCTCCCGTCCGCTGCGAAAGCGAAGACATTGGGAACGCTATCACACCTGAAGATCTTTCGACGATCACAAACACAAGCAGTGAAGGCGTAAACGTCGCCACTAGTGATGAGCCGCACAATGAGTTAACGAACAATACGATAGTCGGGTCGACAACACCAGAAGCTGATAGTGTTGTTGAAGTGCAGACCAATGAAGAATCCATTACTCCGAACAACATTACAAACACACAAATGCCAACTGAAGGCACACAGAATAGCGGTAAGTGTTTTATAATGGATTGCATGCCATTCAATGCACAGAAGGTGTGGATCTATTAAAATAATAATGGGTTCACTTTAAATGTGCTTAAATTAAAAGTTATAAAAACTGGATTGACTTTAGTTTCTAGAAAAAGTTGATATTTCTATATAACTTATAATTTATATATTTATTCAGAAGTTCCCGAAGGAGTTGATCCCTCTTTTCTGGCCGCTCTTCCCGAGAACATTAGGCAAGAAGTGATTGCCGAACACTTGCGGTTACAACGCCTTCAACAACAGGGAACAGCTCAGACCACTGCTCCCACGACTCAGGCCAGCAGTAGTGCCACAACCAATACATTTACTGAAGTGAATCCCGAATTTCTGGCCGCTTTACCGCCCAATATCCAGGAGGAAGTGTTGGCACAACAGCGCGCAGAACAGCAACGAATAGCCCAACAAAACACTAACCCCGAGACGCCTGTCGACGCCGGAAGCTTTATCTTAACACTTCCGCCCAGTCTTAGGCGTCAAGTACTGGCAGATATGGACGACAGTCAGCTCGCATTACTCCCTCCCGAAGTGGCCACTGAAGCGCAGGCTTTGCGGCAAGAGTTGGAAGCGAGACACCGGCAAATACAGGAACGCTTTTTTAGTAGTCACGCCGGAACCGCTCTTTCGAGAATCCTTCGCAGCGCAGGTATTGTTTCTCAAAGTGTTTAGTAGTGCGAGTGAAATGATCTCTAATTGCATTTGAATTGTCTATTGTTAGCAACAGGGCGTATGGGAGGCACGCGTTACACTATTCATACGGTACCGCCGGGTTCGTGGCCTTGGAATATTAGTGGCCGTTCGGGAACGGGTGGCAGCAATTTGAACGCCAATTCAGGCGTTAACGCTCACAGACCTGCCTTTACGAGCTCTCGCTTTAGAGGGCGGCAACTATTGGATAACGAGGCGCTCTCTTGTCTTCTGATTCTTCTGTTCGTTGAAGAGCCAAAACTCAATACAATTCGTTTGCATCGAGTGCTCCGTAATCTGTGTTATCACGTGCCCACTCGGCAATGGGTTATACAATCATTGCTCGCGATTATGGAGAAAACGAAAGAATTGAAAGATCTAAATGAGACGAGACCTCGAAAGGGCAGTAATGCCAGCGCAACACCAAATCAAAAGTATGTGAATCACTCATATCTTACGGCCCAATGATTGAAACCACTCACTGAGAAGAGGGTTCCTTAGGTCTGACTTCACTTGAGTTTACTCTAGTGGTGATGGACCGGGAATTATGGGTCTTCTGTGACCAATAGATTATGAGATATGAGGGCCTTATTTCAATAAATGGAATTATTTGTCATTACCATATTGATTGATAACTCGTTTACGTAGATCTGCCGCACACTCGATGGCCTCGTGGCTGTCGATTAGTTTGGACGCAGCGCTGGGCTGCCGGACAAATGTATTCCAAGTGCACAGAAGTACAACCGGTGCCAAAAAGAGTGGGATCTGTAGTGTGAACGTCAACACCATTACCATTCATCCTCAGGCCTCACCACTTGTCTGCCGTCACGTTCTCGACACACTTATAGCACTCGCAAAGTCTTTTCCCAATCATTTCCTTCCCGACGCTCATCATCTGCTTACCAAAGGAGAGGACACTCTGTTGTCTAATCCTCAAACCACTCCCTCCGGAATCAAAGGGCCCACAGATTTTTGGGATGTTTTGGTTAAATTGGATTCAATCAGTAGTAATAGAAAAGGAAAAAGTGTGTTAAAAACTCAAAGTAATTATATCTTTGCTTAACATTAGACTAAAACTTATTGATGACATGATTTACTGTTGAATAGGTTCTGCGACAGGACTGTCGACTCCCAATACATCGCAAAGTCAAGAATCGGAAACTGGGGCTCAAAATGTGGAACCGTCTCCGATGTCTAACATTATTAGTTTACTCTCACATCCAGTGATCAAAAGGAGTTCAATGCTTACCGACCGGTTGTTGCGTTTATTAGCTCTTATATCACTGGCTCTTCCTGCCAATGAAACTGCAGCGACAACATTGCATCCATTGGCCACTTCGACACCCGTTGCCATTACTAATGAATCCACAACAGAGACTCCGTTACCACAATCGAGAACTACAAACACTGAGTCTTCAAGTGATAACAATGAAGACAAAAGAGATACTATTTGTGATAAGAAGCCGATAGTCTCTGTCAATAGCGGCGAAGGATCTCAAGACAAGAACGAGAAAATAATTGCATCTGAAGAGCAATTAAAACTGGCGGTCGATGTCTTGACATCAAAGTCGTGCTCCGAAGAGGGCTTAGAAGATGCGACCGCTTTATTGCTGAGACTATCGCGCAGTTGTTCGGCCACTCGTACTGTTGTTCTTCGTTTACTGCTGAACGGCGCCCAAGAGTTAGGTTTCGTTGTCTGTCAACACATTAACTCTTTGGTTATAGAATTGAAAACATTGAATGCAAACAATCCCGAAGTGACTCCCAATGACTCCGACAATCAGAGTCCAGAGAAGATGAGCAAAGGTGTGATTCACGACAGGTTTACGAATACAACGGTTGTCATAACAGCGCCGTCTAATGTTAAGCACAATATCGCCGCCCGAGAGGTTCAGTTACCGTCGATGTCTGCGCTGACCGCCAAAGCTTCGAGTCAATCGTTTTTCTTAAGAATTCTTAAAGTAATCATTCAATTGAGAGATTCGATTCGACTCCAAAAGAATAAACGTAATACCGATGGAGTGTCTGCTATGGAAGTGGACGGACAGGACGACAGTCTGAGTAATGAACTCCATTTGGACGATCTCTGGCAGGCATTGAGTTCGTGTCTATTAGAGTTGGCCGACACTCCCGATCATCACGCGGTGCTTGTGTTGCAGCCGGCAGTCGAGGCCTTCTTTCTGGTCCACGCGGCAGAACGCGAGCCAAACAGACGCCGCGATAACCGAAGCGAGACTCGCGATCAACAGTTGGCGCACATTAACCGAGACATCGCTCCCCTCTCTCCGGCACCCGAAGGATCAGCCGGTGATTCGGGTTCGGCTGTGGCTAACCTTCCGGTTGACACTCAAAAGTTCCTAACGTTTGCCGAAACGCATCGAATAGTTTTGAATCAAATATTACGCCAATCGTCGACACCATTAGCGGACGGGCCGTTCGCTGTACTCGTAGATCACACAAGAATTCTCGACTTTGATGTCAAACGTCGCTATTTTAGGCAAGAGTTGGAGCGTTTGGATGACGGCGCCCGACGCGAAGACCTGGCCGTTCACGTCCGACGCGAACATGTCTTTGAAGACTCCTATAGAGAACTGCATCGCCGAGTGTCCGAAGAATGGAAAAATCGCTTTTACATAGTGTTTGAGGGCGAAGAGGGTCAGGACGCGGGCGGTCTGTTGCGTGAGTGGTATACTATAATATCGCGCGAAATATTCAACCCGATGTACGCCCTGTTCACGACCTCTCCGGGCGATCGCGTGACTTATATGATCAATAGTGCCTCGCATTGCAATTCCAATCACTTATCGTATTTCAAATTTGTCGGTCGAGTCATCGCTAAAGCCGTTTACGATAACAAACTTCTTGAATGTTATTTCACGCGATCTTTCTATAAACACATTCTCGGAAAACTTGTCAAGTAAGCCATCCATCACTTCCATCCACTCATCCATTAAGTGCTTTATTTCAATTAATTTTGCCAATACTTTACAGATATACCGATATGGAGAGCGAGGACTACTCTTTCTATCAGGGATTAGTGTTCCTCTTAGACCATAACGTCCACGAATTGGGCTATGAGTTGACATTTAGTATCGAAATCCAAGAGTTTGGTGTAACAGAAGTCCGTGATCTCAAACCGGACGGACGTAATGTTGTGGTGACCGAAGACGTGAAGCATGAATACGTGCATCTGGTCTGTCAGGAGAAGATGACGGGTGCCATCAAAAAACAATTGGGGTCATTCCTCGACGGCTTCTATGAAATAATACCCAAACGTCTCATCTCTATATTCAACGAACAAGAGTTAGAGCTATTGATCTCCGGTTTGCCGAACGTAGACATCGACGACCTGAAGGCCAACACCGAGTATCACAAATACCAGTCCAGTTCACTGCAGATCCAATGGTTTTGGCGAGCGTTGCGGTCATTTGACCAAGCTGATAGGGCTAAGTTCCTCCAGTTTGTGACGGGCACTTCCAAAGTACCGCTTCAGGGATTCGGTGCACTCGAGGGCATGAATGGCTCCCAAAAGTTCCAAATACATCGCGACGACCGCTCAACCGACCGCTTGCCCTCCGCTCACACCTGGTATGTACTCTAGTCTGACATTGACTTGTATTGTGTACTAAATTGCTGATTGTACCTATAGTTTCAATCAACTGGATTTACCCGCTTACGAGACTTACGACAAATTACGACTAATGCTTTTGAAGGCAATCCAAGAGTGTTCCGAAGGTTTTGGTTTCGCATAAAACGTTTATTATATGTTACGACTGTCTTATGGCCTGTGATTTCTCGAGATTTTTATATTTTCAAATAATTTCGATAATAAATAAATTCAAAATATTGTAAATTAATAAATATTTGAAAATTCTATTCAAATGAATGTCTGTTTGTATATTAATGCGGATTTAATGCTATAAATGATTAGTTTAATAATTAATTGATTTTTATTTTATTTGTAGTCCATTATTATAATGAATACTTTTTTGAAAAGAAACTAAAACTTGTTTTTAAAATTTTAAGATAAAATTATCATTAAAAAAGTATAATTGAAATACTGATCCATTTGTATAAAACGGTTAATATTATTATTAAACATAATTTTGAAATATTCTGTTGTCATATATTTTGTGACCAAATATCTGTGAAGCGAAAGCAAATGTTTGGTTTGAAGGCATTTGAAAATGGGTTCATTTATTATATGTTACTATAATATACATATAGAAAAGAATATATTAATAGCATTTGAAGCATAATTTTTGAGACCAACAAATAAATCAACTTTTTTAATGGATTTCTATAATTTTTGGCAATTCTTACATCATTTTTATAACTTATGGTTTAAACAAATAATTGGTTCACTTTTTCTATAATAAAAGAATTTTTCATTATTAGGACAAATGATGCAAACATTTGAAACTGATTAAATGTTTAACGATTTAAATGTATATTACTTTAAGATTAAAATATTTATCTAATGTTTACTAAACCCCTCTATAAAGAGCTGGTATTGTATTGAATTGGAAACGGTTTTAATTTGAAACACCAATGAATTGTTGTGTTCAACGAATCAAATGATTTATTGCTTTAATTGAATGCATTATATATCGATTGAAATTCCTGTTATTTTTGCTTTTTTACATTAAATGAGACACATTTTCACAACAACTCTGTTTATATTTGTTTCATTACATTAACCATTCTTTAGGACAAAATTCTATATAATTTCTTGGAAACGATTATTACAAGTATTTGTCATTCATTACGACTATTATATCTGGAATTTAGGGACAAATAATACAAACTATTTTCAGAATTTAATTATTAACAACTCTTATAAAGAAATGAGTGAAATATGTCATAAATTCTTTGCAATAATGAATTTAATTCACTCGACTTTTTGTATACAATTGTGACAAATATTATTTCATTAGATATCGTTAGGAAATTACTTATAATTTGTGTTAGCAATCAGTATATTTCGTTTGTATTTCACATTTTTAAGATAATTTTGGAAATATTTGCGACTAATTATTAAAGACTTTCAAAATATGTATTTATCCAAATAAAACACTTTGTTATGGTTACGCTTTCAACTTTACAAAATATTGTATAAAGATTTGTATGTTATAATAAATGTTATATAAAAACAATTAATACTAAGAATTGTAATATTATTACTAACTATTAACTACTAACTACTATACAGTACAATGATTTCCATATGTTATTGCAGTCTTTAGATTTCAGTAAAATTAAAGAATTTAAAGAATATAACATTAAAACAAACCTTTAACCTAAATAATAGTAATATTCAGATATTGCACACATATTATTAATATAAATTTCCAAGTCTATGATATATTTCAATAGTCCTTATTTTTATATTCTAGTCTATAGTTATAAAGTTAATAATATTAATGTTGTTTCTCAAGAATATCTTGTAAGGTGTGTATAATATCTAGCATTTCATACATATCTACCTTAAACATAGAGGATATACTTATGTAAGTTTTCTTTTATCTCGTTTTTATTTTGAACTTAAGATTTGTTCATAAAAAGTGTTTGAATTCACTTTACATTAAATATAAGTAGAGATGAATGATATGAATGATAGGGCGAATACAATCTCATTCCACTTCATTGTCTGTAACTACAAATTGTTTCACTCATTGTTTCAAAACAAATAAAACAACTTTACAAATGAGGAAACGATGCAATGAACACTTTCTTTAGCGAATAATGAATATTTTCCTTCAATTTGTCAAACAATTTGCTTTA